TGTACCCTAGAAAGCGTAACGACAGTCGAAGCAAACCGGTTCAATGGCTATGTTAGATGGGATCAGTTGCATTCCACCCACTTTATCTCATGGATCCATTTCATTCGGAATCGTTTTGCACTGCATTCAGCTAATCCCTCAATAGGTGTGCACTATGAATGACCAGGAAAACAGTTTGCAGTTTACGTTTTTCTACCGTGAGCATGTTCACGGTAATGTTGGTCACGAACCGTATTTACAACGTGCTGATCTGTTTGCGTGTGGAGAAGAATTGTGAATGCTCATTCGGACAACGCAAGCCAGTCAAAACCGGGACAGAGAGAGAGTGTGTGAGAGAAGCGGAACGTGTGTGAATGTGGAACGATCTCACCTTTCTAGGCATTGTCCAAGAGGGAAAATGGGCAGGGATAATAAAAGAATAATCAAGCACCACTAATTAGAAGAGAAATAAGTTTTATCTAGGTCTTAAAGTGCCCAGTTTCCTATCGGTTCTCAATGTGACCTTCCTAGTATATGTCCATCTGAACAGTGGATTTCAGCAAAGCACTTGCGTGCGACAACTGCTGGACTACATACCGTAGGTAGATTGTACCAGCCAATCAGAAACCGCGCGGTCCAGACAAGCTGAACAATGACAGAAATGCTAAAATGCGATTGGCAGGGGCCCGGATGACCAATGAGCTTGGTTTGTACATATTATTTAATCCCCCTTATGTCTTTCAATAAACAAAGTACTAACCCTGTGGTCTTTTCCTTGCGTCTCGGTTACGTGAGATATTGCGTGCAAATGCCAGTGTGACCCAGTGCATACGTGACGTCCAAGATTGCAAATCAATGATTCGTGTTCCGCGTTCATTCCTTACTACTACTATTACTACTACTACTACTACTACTATTAATGCAGTTACTACAGACGATTTACCCAGTTACATGTTAATAACCTTCAGGAATTTCAGTTGGCATTTTAACGAAATGCATACTCTAATAGTGTCTTGTCTTGTTTGAGAATTCTATCACTTGATTAGGACTTATGCTTTTTGTATTCAACCATTAGGAATATCATAACGTCTCACCGTCCCAGCATTCTCGAAAGCACTATGCGTCCATTCCGGTCAATGGCTTTGGCCGCCCCAATCATAAGACGAACGTGGTGCTTCTTTTCGAGGGATCGCGGTTCACACAGACTGTGCCAAAAGCGCACCGCCAAATCGATCACAGCATCAAAGATTCGCGAGGCAAACACACGCTCAAAACGTCACGAGCATATTTCTGAGCAATAAACTATCCCGGTTCTTCCTGGAACATCATAAATCCGGCATATTAGGGATGGAGTTTATTGGTGTAAACTTGAGATTAATTACGTTGATTGTTCAAATTGTTCTTTGGCAGATTTGAGGTTTGTATGGCGATTGATGAAAACATCACATGCGGCTCTACATTATAGTGTTCCTATTAAAATTAACTGTTTGATGCAAGGGGGTAAAATGTATCCCAATTACATTACACAGTTTCAAATTGGCCTTCTGTTTGTAGACCTTTTCTGATGCGGCCAGCTTGATCTAATCGAAACCCAACATTTGTTACGTGACGGAGATAACGAACAGTGCTGCTCCTGGTTCAATTCATCATGATTTAAAAATGTAAAATCATGTCTGATGAAAGAATTTGTGTTCAGTTCTTTCAGAGCAGTGGTGGCCCAGTGGTCACATCACCAAATTACCACCTCGGGGGATGTGTGTTCGAGCCCCACCATCATCATCTGACTTCCCCCTGAGCAACCCTTTGATTGGCCGCTTCCCCCTTCCTGAAAATTATGTCACTGTGTATTCAATAAAAGAAAGTAAGATTTAAAAAAGGATCTAAAGTCCCTGACTTTAAATATTATACTTTCATATCCTTCTTGTCAAATTGCTTGTGATTTCACTGCAAACGATTCCATTTGTCATACATGTATCACGGACAGCGTTAGTGTATATTCGTTTGTTTCCAGCAAGGATTTTCGTTCGTTAACCCCCCCCCCCCT